GTTGAACTTAACAAATTGAAATTATTTTAAAATGTCATGTTGGATTAATATTTTTTTCTTTCAAATTTAGGTGTGAAATTTTCACTTATAATATCACAAGAGCTTAAATTATTTTCGGAAATTTTTTTTAGGGCACGAATATTTTGAAAATTATCCCGAGTCGAAGACGAGGATAATTTTCTAAAATATTCGTGCCCGAAAGAAAATTTCCAGGAATAATTTAACTTGCGTGGTATTCGGTAAGAAAATTTCACACCTAAATTTGAAAAAAAAAATATTAATCCAACATGACATTTTAAAATAATTTCAATTTGTTAATAATATTAACAAATGTTATTATATTTTTAATTAGTTACATCAAATGCTAAAACTCAAATGGGTAATATTTCAATATATAGACATTGTAGTTCATTCACATTATGATTGTAGATCTTATGTTTACCTTTTCAACTGTCAAAAAATTTCCACTAAAGTTTCGTGGCGCCTCGAAAAAATTTCCGGAAATTTTTTCAGTTTCCATGGTAACTAGTCAACATTAAAGCATGTTATTGGTTGAAAAGTAGAGGTGTGAAATTTTCTTACCGAATACCACGCAAGCTTAAATTATTCCTGGAAATTTTCTTTCGGGCACGAATATTTTAGGAAAATTATCCTTCGTATTCGACTCGGGATAATTTTCAAAATATTCGTGCCCTCAAAAAATTTCCGAAAATAATTTAAGCTCTTGTGATATTATAAGTGAAAACATTTCCAATGCACCTTTTTATGTAGAATTTAATGGTTTAAGTATAATTTTTTTAAAATTAATAATTTAAGAGTTATCAACAGAAAAAATGATTTTTTATTTGGGACACCCTCTATATTTTTACTTAACTGAAAAGAATTTAAAATTACCTTTCCAAAAATATAGCACACTTGATATTTTGTTATAATCCCCTTCGAAATACAGAATTTTTATAAGTTCGCCACTTTTAACTAGTAGGCTTTGGACTTTTGGACCACTTATTGATGATATGCCCTTAATGGAATTCGAAAACATATTTTCCAGCAAAACGAGGCACCACCTCTGAACGCTGAAGATATCGGCAAATTTTTGCAGCCAATTTCAAGAATAATTGGATAGCTAACCAAGATCCCAGCCGTTGGCCGTCGAGGCCGCCTGACTTAGTGCCCATGGATCTAATCCTATGGATATATTTGCGGAAGAATAAAGGTTCCTTATTCTTCCGTATAATCTAGACAAGAATTAAAAATACTTAGCAGTTATAAGAGGGTATCTTTCACCCCCACTGAGTTAATGAATTCCGCTAGAAATTTTCAAAAACTACCCCGTCTGTCCATAACAGAAGACGGTTGATATGTCGAACACCTGTAGCAAATTCTCATGTCTTGGTTTGCTATTTATCTTAATTGTTATTAGATATAATTTAAATGTGTTGATGTTGGTTAAATATATTTTAAATTGTTATAAAATTCTGCATCTCTCATAGCAAATAGTATTTTCGTTTTAATTGATGTTCACAGCTAGAATTTTTTTGCATTACAGCCGGTGCCGTTCAAAGCCTACTTATTTAAAAGCGGGCGAATTTTTATATACTCTATATCTCGAAGAGGAATCGAGGAAAATATCAAGTGTGTTATATTTTTGGAAAGGTAATTTTAAATTCTTTTCAATAAATTAAAAATATGCAGGGTGTCCCATATAAAAAATCAAATTTTCTGTAGATAATTCTTAAATTATTAATTTAAAAAAAAATATACTTAAACCATTAAATTCTACGTAAAAAGGTGCTTTGGAAATGTTTTCATAAAAATACAAAATTTTCCACAGCAAAAAAGTTACAGCGATTTGTTAAAAATGCATATTTTTGAAAAACACCCCGTAACTCCGAAACGGTAACAGACATCGATATGCGGTTTTCACCATCATGTTTTTGAGAAAAATTGAGCTCCAGACACCGATATTAGTTTTTGTCTATCTCCTATAGAAAAGGGTGTTTCCATTTAAAAGCGTCGAATTTGACCCACCCTGTACCTCCACTTCGCACTAATACAGGTTCTAAAAAGAACAATGTTCGACTGCAATGTCTGCTAGTAAATATTTTGAAGCTTAAAGTATCACAACACTATTTATTTAAACCAAAAAAAGTGTCAATACGAATGACAATGTCAGGAAATAAATAAATAAATGCGGCAACTTGGTATTTTTTACAGTAGGGCTACCACCCGAATTCCCAGCGCGAAATCGAAATTATTGAATATGTCCATGGTTTGCAAAAATGAATTTAAAAACCGCGCCCTCGATTACCTACGTGACTAAAAGTTTAATTGATATGAAATATAAGTAAGTAATTTCTTTCAGTGGCAGTTCAACTACTGTTCATTCAACTATATAATCTATTAAGCGTTATTTTCTAAAAAATCTAAGTATCTGTATTACTGATTATTCTTTCGCATTTTCGAATTTACAGAAAAAAGAAACGCTACGATCTACCGCAGTGATATACATAAAAAAGAACCAGAACGACAAAATCTTTAATTTCAATGGTGAAATTAAATTCACACACCGTTGAGATGGCACGTCGCGATGTGTTTTGAGCCGAAACACCTCCGACGATCGTGCCTTACCACTGCCGTGTGACGATCTACCATTTTTTTCCATTTTTTTGTCCACCGTTTCCGTCGCTGCGGATTGTGACGATTTGGTTCGTGGACCGTATCGCTCGTACATTCTGGAACGGATAATAGGCAAAAAATATCACCGTTAATGAGATTAAATTTGCGGATTTTTCATTTAATTCTGCTCCGCCTTGGCAAATTTACGGTACATATTTATTAAGAACTAGCTGATTTCTGACGTTGTCTTCTTAAAATCGTTGTGCAGTAACTGTTTTCAGGAGTTTTAAAATATTTTCTAATATGTGGAGGCTGTTTTTTTTCAATAATAATTAACCGGCCTCTGTCGGAAACACTGCGAGATCTATTGTGCTTCTGTCCCCTTTCTATGTCAGCATCGATTCACCAACTTGTGCCTGTCCTTGAGACCTGTTGTAATCTGCACTTGATTTCTGCTAGACATTTGCAGTTCCTTTGTGATTTTATAATTAGGTCCTTGGATAAAAGACTTACTATGCCTGTGTCCCTGTCTGTTTCTCCACTGCTTTTCCCTGATCCAGACTTTTGCTGCACTACGGGTAGTACATTTGGGTATTCCCAGTCCCAATACTGGCTCTGGACCAAGATAGTATTTCGATGATTCTTGTCTAGTTAGTTCATCGGCTTTTTCGTTGCCTTGCAATGGATTTTGTGGTCACCATCTCTTGTAGAATGTAGAATGTTTAGGAGGGGAGTTAGTCACCGCGACCTTAAAGATCTATTGTGTGTTCCCCTTTCTTGAGCTATAACCAGTTATAACTCATCATACAGTCTCAAGGCTTTAACAAAAGCCAGTATCTGAGACGGCTCCATAGAGGCCAGCTCTCCATCCTTGACATCAGCCGTACCAAAGTTCATGGCACGAATGGTCGTCGTCTCGGCGCACTCAGTGATGAGGTGTTCTGGTGTTTCCCCATATTCCCCACAGAATCTGCATTCGCCGTTGTTTCTCAGCTTCAGCCTACTGAGGTGTTCGTTGAGGAGACAGTGTCCTGTTAGGAACCCCGTGACAATCCGAAGATTGTTTTTACTTAAATCAAGGAAAACCTTTGATTTTTCTCGGTCGTAGGTTCTGAGGAACTTTTTCGAGTGTCTTAGACCGTTGAAGGACACCCATTCCAAGTTGCGGTTGGAGTCTTCCAGATTCTTCAGTTCCGCTTTCAGCTGGTTTCCGCTTGGAAAACAGAACGGTTCTGGTCCAGTTAGTGGAGTGTTCGCTCCTTTCCTAGCTAGATCATTTGCTTTTTCATTGCCTTCTATCCCTTGGTGAGCAGGCATCCAGAGTAGGAGGACTTTATTTTCTTTGCCCAACTTGTTGAGCTTCTCTAGGCATTCTTTGACCAACTTCGAATTGATGGTTACTGAATTGAGCGCGTTTAATGCTGCATGACTATCAGATAGGATGGCAAATTCCTGTTTTCGATAGTTCCTATCTAAGATAAATTGTACACATCTTTCGATAGCGTAAATTTCTGCCTGAAGGATACTGGGGTAGGTTCCCATTGGTTCGGAGTATTTGGTTTTCGGCCCAAATACTCCTATCCCTGTCCCTGCTTTGGTTTTAGAAGCATCAGTATACCACGTTATGGTATGGTCTTTTATATGCTGAGTAAGCGTTTCTTCCTTCCAATCCTTTTTATTACTCAATACTACAGTGAGGTGTTTTTCAAAGTTGTAAATTCTTGGTATGTCATCCACTGGGAGTTGGAGAAGTGGAATTTTCTTTTTGAGGGTGTTCCAAGCCCCTGACCTAAAAATTCTCCCAGTACTGTTTCCGTCTATGACCATTCTAATCATTGTCGCATTGGCATAACTACCGACGACAATGTGCAGTGGTGTTAGATCTAAAATGACCTCCATTGCTGCTGTTGGACATGTTCTCATGGCACTTGTGATACAGATACATGCCAGTCTCTGTACTTTGCACAGGTTTTGCCTTGCTGTACGTTGCTCTAGTTTTGTATACCAAGCAACTGCTCCATATGTAATCATGGGTCTTACGATAGTAAGACCCATGATGTATGTATACCATGATAATGATATACATCCAGCGCAAAATTTTTGGGGCGCAGCCCCACCTATTTCCCGCCAGTCTTCTGCATATCATGAGAGCCTTTGTGGCTTTGCTGGTAATGTTCTTAATATGCCTGTTCCAGAGAAGTTTACTATCCTTACTTACTCTTAGAGCATGTTCTGCTACGGCCGACTTGTCTCTTTGCCCTAACCTGCCGCCTCTCTTGTGTTCCGTAAGTCTCGTTCCTACTGAGCGTTTGGCAGTTCCAATATATACGCTACCGCAGGAACAAGGTATACGGTAGATCCCTGCAGAGGATAATGGTACCCTTTTATCTTTGGCTGGTCTCAAGCAGTCCTTTATTTTCCGGGTAGGTTTGTATATTGTTTTGTTTCCAGAGAACTTTTCCAATCCTATCGGTGACCTGGGAGACATATGGAAGGAAGGCCTTATTAACAGTGTTATTCTGTTCATTGATGTCAAGTCTCCTCTGGCTAGGTGCTAGCGCCGCCTTTATTTCTTTCTCATTATACCCATTAGCAAGAAAGGCTTTATTTAAGTGACTTAGTTCCTCTTGTATGTGATCCTTAGCACAAATGCGTCTTGCTCTATTTGCTAATGCTCCGATAATCCCCTGTTTTTGGCTTGGATGATGATTTGACAATTTGTGTAAGTACCGGTCTGCATGAGTGGGTTTTCGATACACCCTGTGATCCAAATGGTCTCCATTTCTCTTGACAAGCACATCGAGAAAGGCCAGTTGGTTGTTTTCTTCGGTTTCCATGGTAAATTTTATGCACGTCATCTAGGCTGTCTCGTCCATGTTTCCAAACAACAAATGTATCGTCCACATAACGAAATCATACTGCCGGCTTCAAAACTGATGACTCTAGCGCTTTTTCTTCAAATCTTTCCATAAAGAAATTAGCAATTATTGGGCTGATTGGGCTGCCCATTGCGACACCCTCTGTTTGTTCGTAATAATTGCCGTTCCATTAGAAATAGCTACCAGTCAGGCACACTCGGAAACGCTCCGCGATGTCAGGTGGAAATGATTCCTTAATTAGATCCATTGACTCGCCTAAGGGTACTCTCGTGAATAGGGATACCACATCGATGCTTACCATGATGTCAGATGGTTCCAGTTTTAGATCATTTAACTTTTGAACGAAATGTGTTGAGTCCTTCACATAAGAGTTTGTGTTGCCGACTTTCGGTTGTAGAATCGTAGTCAAGTATTTAGCCAAGTTGTAAGTAGGCGATCCTGGAGCACTCACTATCGGTCTAAGTGGGATACTAGATTTATGGATTTTTGGTAGTCCATAAAGGCGTGGTGGTTGAGCTTCGGAATTAATCAATTTTGATTTTAGATTTTCCGGGAGTGAGGACGCTTTGATGAATTTGTTGGTGTTTCTTACAATTAAGGCAGTATGTTCCTTCTTAAGTAACTTGTAATAAAATAAGTAACTTGTTAAGTAACTTGTGATAAAAGGGTACCATTATCCTCTGCAGACGATGTCTGCAGTCTTCTTCAAACGATGGTCGTGAAAGCCTAAACTACTACAAGCTATTATTTGTTAAAGAATAATATATAAAATGTAGTTATGTTAGATTTTTTATTGTAAAAACGGCTAAGAATGTACCAAAGGCTTTCCAAAAATATATTTTCCTGTAATATAAGTTGTTCTACAGATATTCCTAATGCTATTGAAATGAATGTCAAAATAAAACAAATGATAAATTAAATGTAAGAACATTATCTTTTTTCAAGATTTACAAAAGCATTATTTCAATTTATTACTAAACTCTATCAGCAGTACGTGCAACATACGAGCAGAAATAGACAAATACCTCCAGCCAATCATCACGTATAATCTGAATGCAACGTGCATTTATTTTTTAATGTAAAATATTTGTTTGATCGGGATCATCTTTAATTAAATACTATAACGTATTATGCCATATTGAAATTGAATTATTTTTATTATTTACCTTTTAAAAACTAGTTATGTGCTTTACATAAATTATTATTAAATAATTTCTTTCAATTGTGTATATCTATATTTTTATAGTTTTTATAATAATATTTATGTATATAATGTCGATACTTTTGTGGCGGATTCATTTTTTCAAAAAAGTCTCTCGGTATTTGGCCACTAGAAGAAAATCTACAAAATAAAATAGTTATTTTTTGTAGGTAAATACCGCTGCGTTGATCCAACAGAGATCAATTTGTCACCAGTATATTTTTAGAATGAATTTAGAATGCGTGGGAGGGGGGTTAATCACTTCGACCTTACAGATCCATTGTGTCCCCCTTTCTTGAATCATAACTCATCATACAGTCCCAGGGCTTTGACAAAAGCCAGTATCTGGGACGGTTTTATAGAGGGTAGTTCTCCATCTCCAATTTCAGTCGTACCAAAATTCATGGCACGAATGGTTGTCGTCTCGGCGCACTCAGTGATGAGGTGTACTGGTGTTTCACCATCTTCCCCACAGAATCTGCATTCGCCGTTTCTTCTTAGTTTCAATCTACTGAGGTGTTCTATGAGGAGACAGTGTCCTGTTAAAAACCCTGTGACAATCCGAAGATTGTTCTTACTCAGACCCAGGAAGATCTGTGATTTTTCTTGATCATAAGCCCTCAGAAACTTCTTCGAGTGTCTTAGACCATTGCAAGATTTCCATTCCAGGTTGCGGATGGAATCTTCCAAGTTCTTGAGTTCCGCCTTGAGTTGGTTACCACTTGGAAAGCAGAACGGTTCTGGTCCAGTTAGTCACCAGTATATTACTAATAAAACAAATTTGTCTAACGGACACAAGACTTTTTTTGAAGAAATGTTTATATACACACCGGAAAAGTCTAGGGATATTACAATTTTATCCAGCCATCGTCAGTAATTTAATTATTTGCATTTCTGATATTAATAAAATTAAAATATACCAATAGTTTACAGGACGTATCGGAAATAAAAATGCGAAATTTACCGAATTTTACAAATTTACCTTGATTTTTATTGAACTCAAAAAAATACACACATTTTTTTTTATTCTAAACTGTGAATTAAAAAAAAAGATAAAACCATTTTTCCTTAATAAAGGGTATGGCCTCCTCTACTGTTCATTACAGCCCTACATCGTCTCTCCATGCTCCTAATCAGGTTGTCGATCTCTTCTTGAGGTGCAGCCTGCCACGCTGCATTTACGGCCCGAACCAGATCCCTACGAGTTTCACGAGGCATACCCATTCTCAAAATTCTTCTTTGGACCGCGTCCCATACGTGCTCGATGGGGTTGAGGTCAGGAGATTGTGCCGGCCAGGGTAAGATGTTTAATTGATGAGCATTGATAAACTCACTTACAACTCTGGCTGTATGAGGCCGTGCATTGTCATGCATGAGAATGAAGTTTCTCCCAAAATCATTGGCATATGGTAACACGACAAGCTCAAGAATTAAATCACGATATGTGATTCCTGTTAGAAACCTTTCAAGAAAAACGAGATCGGTTTTTTGGCCTAACTGGACTCCTCCCCAGACCATAACTGTTCCACCTTGATAAGGGTGCACTTCCTGAACATGATCCAACCGAATAAGATTTCCCGGTTCTCTCCATACTCTAAGCCTTCTCGAATCCGGATGAATTCCAAAGCGTGACTCATCCGTGAAGAGAACATTGGCCCATTATTCATTTGACCACTGAACATGATCTTGAGCCCACATATATCGTACCTCTCGATTTTCTCTTTAAGGGTTGAGCTCTCCAAGGGCGTCTGCTTCTTAAGTTGACCTCTCTTAATCTATTGCGAACAGTGTCAGGACTAACGATTACATTATGTGTTTCCTGGAGAATTAAACTAAGTTCTGGTGCTGTAAGAGTCGGTCGGCGTCGAGCATTTAATTGTAAAAAATGATCTTGCTGAGGGGTAGTAATGCGATGTCGTCCTGTGTGCCTTTCAGCAACATCACAACTTTCACGGTAGCGTGCACTTAATCGCGATATTACACTTTGCGTTGTATTTAATGCTCTAGCTACGTCGATTTGGCGCATTCTAGCTTCGAGCATACCCATGGCCCTTAGCATTTCGTCTCTGTTAAGATGTCTACGCTCCATAATATCGTTTATTACTAAACAGAGTTATTTGAATGAATTCTGGCCAGTTATCATAAAAACATAGCCAGTACAGGTTAAATTCGAACAATTGATGCTAGGTGCTTTTTATACATTTGACAAAAAATGCACAAACACTTCTGCAAATATCCCAAATTTAGAAATAACTAGTGTGACTACTTCGTTTCAATCGAAGTAGAAAGAATCGGCCTACAAATATGTGGTTGTTAGTTAACTTACCGTGTAAGTTTTAACTTCCCATTAAGAGTGATCTACTTTGCTACATACAATTAACCAACAGATATTTTTAAACATCAAATTTTTCATAGTCTGATTTAATTCTATTTTGCATTTAATTATTAACTATACCACAAAAGTGTTGATTATGTCACGCAGGTCAAGCAAGGCCTTTACAAGGCCATGGGATGTAACATATTTCTTAAAGTGCATTTCCTTCACTAAGACTTGGACTAATTCTCTGAAAATTAAGGAGCAGTCTCAGATGAACATGAAAAGCGGTTCCATCAAGACATCGCTAAGCTCGGGAAGATATTTTTAGGGAAGTGGAACAAGAGTGGCAAGCAAGCACCAAGTAAAGGTAAAGATCTTTTTATGTATTATTGTTTATAGCTAAAATAATACCAATATGAACAAGAAAGAAATAGTGAGGGAAATGTATAAAAAAGAAGAAAAAGATTAAAAGGCTTAGCCCTCAACAACTCGTAACCGTATACACCAGTGTACACCAGTGCAGACACGCTGGCGTATACGGTTACGAGTTGTTAAGGTCTAAGCCGTTTAATCTTTTTCTTCTTTTTTATACATTTCCCTCACTATTTCTTTCTTGTTCATATTGGTACCACGGCTAAGGGTATTGCGGCGGGTTGCTGTTGGCTGTTCTGGACGAAGCCCACAATCCTGGGCGACTCTGGTTTTTGGCTGCAAATTGGGGCTTTAGGCTCCCGTTTGCTCCTTTTATTTTCCATCATTTATTTTCGTTTCTTCATCAATTTTTTTTTCATCTCCTCGGTTGCACACGGTGCCTCGTTGCATCGTTTGCTTCCTGTTTTTTTGTGTTTTGGGATCGGTTTCATCGCTTCCTGATTCCTTACCGTACTGATGAAGCCTGAAGGCAGTTACATCAGTGTGCACTAGTGTAGGTGTGGTTGTGTGAGTGTGTGAGTGTGCGTGTCTGCACTGGTGTACACTGGTGTATATGGTTACGAGTTGCTAAGCCGTTTAATCTTTTTCTTCTTTAAAATAATACCCCCCTTTTCATTTCGCCAAATTATTCATTTATGACCATAGAATTATTATTATTATCGAAAAGTGATAAAAATATTATAAAAATAGAGAGCGGGTCTCCCCCGAAAATGGTGGATGGTAGAAGAAAATGTGAGCCATATTTTGAATTCAGGACCACATTTTACGTAAGAATCAGCAGAAATGATGTCAGGGCTCGAGAAAAAAAAATATTTTTGCAGACCAGTGATATCAGTCATTTGCTACTGTTTTGCGGATTTACTTTACTTTTTACGTTTTTTTTTGGTAAACGATAATAACCGGAAATATTTTTTAACCACGGCCATTCTTCTTATTATTTCAAACTTTTTGTTTGACCATTTTTTCGATACGTATTAATCTAATCCTAAAAGTTGCTTGTCACCGCAG